AACTGGAAGAACCAGCAGGAGACAGCCAGTTCCACTGCGGGCCTGATTCGGCCCCCGGGCTGCATGTTTGACACCCCTGCTCTAGACGTTCCACTCACTGATCTTTCCCAGATATAATCGGCAGGCACAGGCTGTCAATAGCAAGCCAAGGGCCAGGGCTCTATGAATTTCAGTTGTTGGTTGGTAGTTCCACAGTGCATTGGGGCTTAGTGAATTAAGATTCTTCCTTTCCTTCCTCTCTCCCACCCGTCTTCTTTTTAACTTTTTAGTTGCTTTTCCCACAGTTTAACTTTCCTTTTAGCAGGGAATCAAATTTCCATCCCATTGCATAAGGCATATTAGCAACCGCACACGAGAAACACAAAAAAGGGATCTAAAAAGAAAGGCTTCTAACAAAAGACAAAAAATAACGATTTAAATTTTTGTGGGTCGGGGGGGGGGGGGGGGAATCTTGCAAAACCCTATTCTTGTCGGCACCTTTCCCTTAAGCCCCAAAGCTGTTCTGCGCATAACATTTGGGTGCAGCCACAAAAGCGTTCAACACCTCCTCCAAGGCGAAGAGGATGAAGGGATTGGACTGACTTTCGGGCACAGAATTTATTCCAAGGAGGAGGGCCCATCTGGCGAAACAAAGGCGGACAGATGTCAAGAATAAAGTGCTAACTTTTCCGATCAGAGTTGAAAAGAACGCTAAAAATAACAATGTTAACCATGAAAGGTGTTTTGGGTTGGGTGAACGAAAAGCTCTCTCACTTCACTAAAACTGGGGGAATGGAAGAAGAAGAGATTCACTACCCGAAGAGTCTCCGAGCAGCTTACAATCTCCTTTCTCTTTCCCCCTCCCCACAACAGACACCCTGTGAGCAATGTTCCCTCTAAGCTGTGGAGTCTTGTGAGCAAAAATCCTACTTTGTGAGCTCCTGGCATTGAAGCTGTGAGCGAGCGATTTGGCTGCTGCATCAGTTAGTTTGCTCTGGAGCCCTCCTTCCTGAGCGGAGACAAGAATGAGTGAGCTGGAGGCTAAAAAACTGTGAGCTGGCTCACACTAACTCAGCTTAGAGGGAACACTGCCTGTGAGGTAGGTGTGGCTTGAGAGAGCAATTTTGAGAACGGCTCATAAGGGAACAGCTCTGAGTGAACTTGTGACTGACCCAGGGTCACCCAGCAGCTGCATGTGGAGAGGTGGGGAATCAAACCCAGTTCTCCCAGGTTAGAGTCCGCGCTCCTAACCACTACACCAAACTGGAGGGACAAATTCTGCCAGTACCTCACAACTATCCAGCTGCGGGTTCGACATGTTACCAAAATCAGCCCCTGGCAATACATTCCAGATTAAAAGACTACTTGGGAGGAGAAAGGAAGGAAGCAGAGGTTCCATGTTCTGGTGGGTGGGGGAGAAGACTTTTTCTCTCTCAGTATGTGCGGGTGCCCCATTCCCACCATCCACAAAGACAAATGACTCCGATTCATCAACTTACCAGCAGGGCAGGGAAGCAGTCTTCAAGGCAGGGCCCCAGAAGGGGATGGGTGTGCTGTCCAGCCAAATAGCTGGGACTGAAGGGCGTGGCAAGGAAACTCTCAGGGGAGATCTTGGGCATCTGGACTCACAGAGCTGCCTGCTACTGAACCAGACCATCGGTCTACCAAGGTCAGTATTGTCTACTCAGACTGGCAGCAGGTCTCCGGGTTCTCAGGCTGCGGTCTTTCCCAACACTTAATACCTCATTCTTTTGACTGGAGATGTCAGGGATTGAACCCGGGACCTTCTGGATGCCAAGCAAATGCTCTACCACTAAGCCACATCACCAATGGCAGCAGGCTGGGCTTCCTAGCCAACCCTGTAACGCCACACCTTCCTGGAACACGTGGAGTTCATCCTAGTCATATTTAGGAATTCCTCCTCGTGAGTAGGACCAGGCCTGTAGCCAGGATTTTGTGGTTTGTGGGGCAATTATTTTTTTCTGTTGGGGCTGAAAGTGCAGAAAGAAAAGCCATTTAGCCAACAGAAAGCTGCTACCAGGACAGAGCTCTAAATTGCAAGCTGTCGACCACTTTAGATGACAGTTTGCAGCTGCTACAAGTTAATCACTTCTGCTAAGCCTTCTGGGCAGGGATGAGGTCTGGAGTCAAGAAAGCTGACAGGCAGAAAACCTCTTCAAGGAGACCAGTTTCTTGACACAGAGTTGGAAGGGATCCTAGAGGTCACCTACTCCAACCCCCTTGCTCAGTGCGGGAATTAGTCAACTTCAGTACCACACACTGCTTAAAGGAGTGCATGCCTTTTAAAAATGTTTTTAAATTATTGAAAAAAGCATTTAGAGGAGAAATTCTTGTGGGGCTGTGCCTTTAAGAAAGGAGGCAGAACTCCCAAAAGCCCCACCATAGCTACGGGCCTCAGTAGGACTATGGGAAAGAAGGCCACAGTCACAACACAGAGGCAAGCAATGGGCAAACCACCTCTGTTTGTCTGTTGCCTTGAAAATCCTACAGCGTCACCATGACCTTTATGGTCAGGGTCCGGCATACCTAAGGGACCGCCTTTCCCCATATGTTCCCCCAAGGGCACTATGGTTGGGGGGCCAACATCTTTTGACTACCCCAGGCCTCAGGGACGTCATATTCACTGAGACTAGGGCCAGGGTCTTTTCGGTGGCGGCTCCTACCTGGTGGAATGAGCTCCCGGAGGAGATCCGGACCCTATGGGATCTTGCGCAGTTCCGCAGGGCCTGTGAGACGGCGCTCTTCCGCCAGGCTTTCGAGTAGGAGCTGCCGCCGCTACTGTTCCACCAATGCACCGCCGCCGAAAACTGGCGGAGATACCATCAGGGTGCAAGCAGGCCCTGGGCAGGGCCGGCTCACTCACTAGGCAATTGCCTAGAGCGGGCCGGCCCTTAGGGGCGCCAAACTGCACCCAGCCCCGTACTCTGGGAGTTCCTTGATTATTTGTGTTTTTCATTCTTCCTAAAATGCATTTATTTTTGAAAATTGGTGGGCACACGGGGAGGGGGGCGCCAGAAGGGATCCCCACCTAGGGTGCAAAATAAGCTGAGGCCGGCCCTGGCCCTGGGAAGAAGACTGGCTATCTGTCGTTTTGGAACTTACGTCGTTGGTCCGGATCCACCCTACTGGAACCCATCTTGGAACTGGGAACATCAGAGCACCAGCACTTGGTTGTATTATTGTTATGTTTTTATTCTGTTTTTAATTGTTTTAAATATGGCTTTTGCCCCAATTGTTAGCCGCCTTGAGCCGTAGGGAAGGGTGGGATATAAATCGAATTATAAATAAATAAAAAAATAAAAATAAAACGAATTGCCTGCAACTTGACAGCCCGTTCCACCGCCATTCAAGCTCAGCCCAGCCTGATCTTTGAGTCCAGCGGCACCTTTAAGACCAACAAAGTCTTATTCAAGGTATGAGTTTTTGTCTGCATGCCCACTTCGTCAGATACAATGAAATGGAAATGAAAGCTCATACCTTGAATAAAACTCTGCTGGTCTTAAAGGGGCCGCTGGACTCAAACTTCATTCTACTGCTTCAGAACAACACGGCTGCCCCACCTAGATCTAGCCTGATCTTGTCAGAGCCTGGAAACTCAGCAGTGTCGGCCTCTGGCCCATAGCGACAATGCGGCTATTGGGGCTCCGCCCCTCCTTAAAGGGCCAGCCTCACAAGATTTTTTTGAGAAGAATTGGGGGGTCTGCACACACGGGGCCCCTTGTTGTTGTTGTTGTTCAGTCGCACAGTCGAGTCCGACTCTTCGCGACCCCATGGACCAGATCCAGGAAGTGCTCCCTTCTCATTGGGTGGCCAAAATATTTGAGCTTCAGTTTCATTATCTGGCCTTCCAGGGAACAGTCAGGGTTGATTTCTTTTAGGATGGACTGATTTGATCACGGGGCCCCTACTTCTTCTCAAAAGAGAAGAAGCAGGGGGTGGCTCACGCCCCTCTCCCTCCCTCCTCCAAGATTTCAATTGATCGATCGATCGACCTTTATTGGCATAACATACAGAACATAAGACTCAATTTGCAAGGGATGCTGAACGCTTCCTTGAAGCTTCATACAGAAATTTTGCAACACTTTCAATTATTATGTGATTCTGGGTTGTCAGCAAAAAGTAAATCTTACATTCATCAGGTTTCCCTGAATACTTTCTCAAGCATGGCTCGACGAATGTAAGGCACAGGTCTGAGTAGAAAGTCCGTGAAAGAAACACACGTACAAGAGTTTCTAACTCCTGCTGAGTGCAGGAACAGAATCTACTGTCGAATGGGATTTTTTGGAATCTCCCATATAATACTGCTGACGGCAACACATTAAACCTGGCTAACATATATGCTCTGCGTTGCCCCGGGTTCGTTAAACAAGTTAGATACTCGGCCCTATGCCCAAAAGGTAAAGGCCCCAAATTGAGGGGTGAGCATCTACTTTTTGCACGGCTCTCAAGAACCTGCCTCTCAATGTCAACCAGTCTTTGCCTCCACCAAGGTTTAAATTGCAAGCTGTCGACCACTTTAGATGACAGTTCATATGCTCCCCATGATCAGCTGAAGGGCCCTTTAAATCCTGCAGGAGGGGAAGGAGAGGGAGAGGGGTGCCCCCCCGGCAGGGAGGTTTGGGGGCGGATTTGGAGTTGACATAAAAATAATGACGGCCCCACCCCCCAAAAAAATTCTCCCCACAAGCCACAAAATCCTGGCTTTGGGCCTCGTTGGCCTTGGTTAGTACTTGGATGGGAGACCACCAAGGAAGTCCAGGGTTGCTACGCAGAGGAAGCCAATGGCAACACCTCTGCTCATCTCTTGCTTGGAACGCCTTACGGACAGGGTCGCCAGGAATTGGCTGCGACTTCACAGCACACAATTATTATTATGATGATTCATCCTCAGCTTCCTTCTCAGGATCTTAACACATTCTCTCCTACAAGAAGGGAAGGCTTCCCTCCACAGGGAAGGCTCCCAAGACCCAAGAGACGCGCCCGGCGACAAAGCGGCTTACCATGTGCTCCATACAAATGCTGATCTCTCCGTCGCTGTAAAACGCTCCGTAGAAGCCCACTATGTAGGGAGAGTTGCATTCGTGCAAGACCTGCAGTTCGCGGATGATCTGGTTCCGGATCGCTGGCTTGATCTCCAGGTGAATTAACTATAAAACCATAAAAGTTGACGTCATGTCCTTCACAGGCTTCTGGAAGGTTTTATTTTTAAAGCTTACCCTGGATGAAGGGGCATGCTGTACTAGTACAGAACAAGGTGGCGTATGGAACTTTACTCGCCCAAGAGGCAGCAGGGCCGCATTTCAGAAGAAGTTTGGGGGATGAAGACTGCAAAACACAGGGGACGCGATTCAGAATCTGCGTTTCTCTCCATGGTCATTCCCTGGACCTAGCAGTCTCTGTGAACAGCCCGACAAACTACAGTGAAAACGACCTTTCCAGGAAGGATTTCAGATAGCCTAACTATTCTGTTTCAGGTTACTAACTTTCCCCCCTGTCATTTCAGACAGACCCATTTTAGTAACTGGTTCCTAACAGAATTTATTTACCTGTTCATACAATGCCGGTTGTCTCCCATTTCGAAAGTGTGTCTGACGCGTTGTTGACGAAAACTGCTTTAGTCAGGTCTTCAATTCCTTTTTTCTGGATCTGAGTCGCTATAGTGGGCTGCGTGAAATGCCCCGTAGCGCTTCCTTCTGTGACAGGTTTTTTGTGGCCTTTCCCACTGGTGCGCCATCTCTCCTCTTTTTAAAAAAACATGTTCTATTGGGAGTGCTATAACGCTATAAAGTAAAAAGGTAAAGGTCTCCCTTGCTCAAAAGCCAGTCGAGTCCGACTCTAGGGTTGCAGTGCTCATCTCCGTTTCAAAGCCAAAGAGCCAGCGCTGTCCGAAGACGTTTCCGTGGTCATGTGGCCGGCATGACGAAACACCAAGGCGCACGGAACGCTGTTACCTTCCCACCAAAGTGGTACCTATTTATCTACTTGCAATTTCTTGCTTTCGAACTGCTCGGTTGGCTGGAGCTGGAACTAGAGACGGGAGCTCACTCCGTCATGCGGCAACTCGGGTCTTGAGCTGCTGAACTACCGACCTTCCCCAGCCTGCAGTTCAGCGTCTTAACCACTTGAGCCACCGCAGTTCCTATATAACACTATAACAGGACGTCAAATCACCATTATAGCGCTCCCAATAAAATGTTCGGGGGGGGCGGACTCTCAGGGAGATGGTGCGCGCAGAGGAAAATGGCGGGGGGAAAAAGCGGCACCGTTTGAAATGGCCACAGCACTTCAGAGACGGCTCCTTACCGGGAGGGAAATGCTGTGTGAAACAGCCGTCCCTGTACTGGTTTCCTCCATGACGGGCCAATAATGGAAACCATGTGGTTTTAAAAGGTCATGTGAAATCGACCTATGTGTCAGCTCCACAACTGTACCCACATTGCATTTCAAGGTGGCCGTACGCCCTGCCAAGCATGTACAGGTCAAAAGACCAGCCAGAATGGCCCAGGATCTAGGAAGCAGAATGTCAAGCAGCAGTTTACAAAGCCCACTGGGTCATTTCAGCAGACCACAAGACGGCTGGCTGGTTTACTTACGTCGACTCACCTTTTCTCCCCAAGAGGGGCCCGAAGCAGGTCACAAAAGGATTCTCTCCTCCTCTATTCTGTTCTAACCTCACAACGACAACTTTGTGAGGTACGCTAGCCTGAAGAGGGCGTGACTGGCCCAAGGCCACCCAGCAAGCAATTCCGGGCGTGAAAGCCTTCGACAACCTATGGCTCTTAGAAAAGCTTGCAATAGCTAGAAGAGGGCAGATATGTCAACTCGGCGCGACCCAAAGGTAAGGTCAGTTAACGGTGCTCACCTTCCTTGCCATGATGAGACCAGAAGGCTTGTGCGACACTTTGAAGACCACACCGCCATTCCCTGCACCCAGTTCACTGATCTTCTCGAAGTCGTCATCTTTCAGCTCCCCGACTTTCTGCTTCTGAGTGAGGAACGCCTCGAGACGCTTCCGCTGCTGCTCGTCCAACTCTAACTCTTCCAACTTCTTCTGCAGGGCTTCCAAATTTGTCCTGTGCAGCAAGGAAAGAGGGAAAAGCAGCCATTTACTTAAAGAAGTTTCCCATCCCCATCTAGGCTGCGACATGGCACGGTCTCATCGCAGTGTTCCCTCTAAGCTGAGTTAGTGTGAGCCAGCTCACAGTTCTTTAGCCTCCAGCTCACACATTTTTTGTCTCAGCTCAGGAAGGAGGGCTCCAGAGCAAACTAATTGATGCAGCAGCCAAATCTCTCGCTCTCAACTTTAATGCCAGTAGCTCACAAAGCGGAATTTTTGCACACAAGACTCCATAGCTTAAAGGGAGCATTGGTCTCATGTATATTTTTAAAAGGCAAAAGGACTGCCAGTCAAGGGGCTCTCCTTCTCTGGAGGTTTGCAAGCGGGGGCTCGATGGCCATCTGACAGCCATGCTGATTCTGTGAACTTTGGGCAGATCGTGAAAGGGAGGGCAGGAAGGATTGCTTCAGTGCTTAGTTCTCGTGGCCCTTTCTTACACACCCAGGGGAATGCTGATCGCCACGTTAGGGTCAGGCAGCAATTTTTCTCCAGGCCAGTTTGGCTGAAGATCCTGGAGGTTTTTCGTCATCTTCTGGGCATGGGGGTGTGGAGGGGGAGGTTTTTGTGAATTTCCTGCATTGTGCAGGGGGTTGGATTAGATGACCCTGGAGGTCCCTTCCAACTGCATGATTCTGTGTTGCCTTGGGGTAGAGACCTAGTGTTTGAACCACAGCCTTAGTCAGGGCCCTTTTTGTAGAAAAAGCCCAGCAGGAACTCATTAGCATAATAGGCCACACCCAACAGGAGGAACTCATTGGCATATTAGGCCACACCCCGGACAGCACAGCTCATTAGCATATTAGGCCACACCCACGTGTTACCAGAAGTGTGGTCACTTAGCCACACCCACCTTTTGCTTCTTACCGGGAGGGATGGCACCCCACAGCTCTGGACAGCTTGTGCGTATACTTCAGGTGCTTATCTGTGCCCATTCACAGGCCGTTACGTGACACAGCACAAGAAACGTCTCCTTCCTTATGGTTTATTTATGCAAAGAGGGGAGGGGGGAAATCAGTCAGAAGCTAAACCAAAGAAGAGAGAACAGCTTTGAATCTGGGGCCCTTTGATTAAACTCGTGGAAGTGGTGGTTTTTAAAACACTTGGATTTTTCTGCATTTGAGACCATTTCCTCTTACTCCACTCCTAGCCGAGGAATCATTGGATGGGTCAAATGGTGCCTTCCGCGAGCCACAAACTGCTGCCGGTTTGGATTTTCTAGATCAGGGATGTCGAACTCATTTGTTATGAGGGCCGGATCCGACATAAATGAGACCTTGTTGGGCCGGGCCGTGTCATAAAATGTGATGCCAGGTAGCTTTATAAAGGACATAAATGTAATGGCAGGTAGCTTTATAAAGGACACAAACACAAAGGGTTTTTCCCCTACTTAAAATAAAAACACGCTTAAAACATCAGCACTCTTGCAATATTTTGTTTATTTAACAGTGTCTGATCACTGACACCTCTTGCTCTGAATTATTGCATCAAAGTGTCTGTGCTGTTTCAATCCTGAGTATGCTGTTCAGGTGTGTGTATCTGTAAGCTGCAAACCTACGATGACGCAGCAGCAGCAGAACTGGGGGAAGGAGCAGAAGACAGCCAGTTCCACTGCGGGCCTGATAGAAGCCCTCTGGGGGCCTAATCCGGCCCCCGGGCCGCATGTTTGACACCCCAGTTCTAGAGCGTCATAATGTGAGAAAGACCCTGACCCGGATAGCCCAGGCAAGCCCGATCTCGTCAGATCTCGAAAGCTAAGCAGGGGTCGACTCTGGTAAGTCCTTGGATGGGAGACCTCCTTGGAATACCAGCAGTCGGGAGGCGGGAGCAGGCTTTATTCAGCCACCTCTCTGAATATCCTCCAGGCCCCCAGCAGGGCTCAGCCACCAGCGGTCGCCATGACTTCCAGGGGCACACACACATACAATTCCAAAAAAAATAAAAGCAATGTACAATCATGATGTGAGAAAGAGAGAAGGGAAAGCTTTAACGTGATCCCAAGACGAACTGCCACATACGCACCTTGCTAACCAACTGGAGTGCCACGGAAAATGAAAGCCATGCCTCCTAGGAACACCATGAAACTTTGCTTTTTCAGATCTCAGTGGGAGAGATCCCTTTCGGTCTAGGAGTCATTTCTCCGCATTGACCCAGAATTCCCCCAAGCCACTGCAACACCGGAAGCATAAATGCCTTTCATCAGCTTGGCGACTCATCGCTGTTATGTTCTAAGCTTCCAAGAAGCTATCGATGCCAGACGTGAGATTCTGGATACTGTTTGATGCATCGCTTAAACGAAACACATCTGACCTGGATGGCCAAGGCGGAAGCTAAGCAGCATCGGCCTCGATTAGTACTTGTGCCCTACGTCGGCTCTGACTTCACAGCACTATCTACCATCACCACCACCACCAACAACAACGCACATGCCACGGAGCCATGCCAGAGGCTAGGAGGGGTCGTGGTTTCCTAGCCAGGCCCCCCCATCAGAACTCTGCAACAAAAGCAAACCAACAAGCCAGTGGCCCCTGCAATCTCTCACGCGCCTGCTTCAAAAATAACTGAAGCAGGGGGCTAAAGGAAAGACACACAGCACACGCGGTGTAGAAACAGCTGCTGCTTTCTGCCTCTTGTCTTTATCCAGACAATCAGAAGACAAAAATCAGAACAGGCTATCATTAAGGCAGGCAGAGAGAGCCTGCATTATCGCTCTCTGCAGTAAATAGCCCGAGTGCCAATGGTAATCTGATTATACACTTCCTGCCTTCGGAAGCTCACAGACGAGAGAGAATAAGAAGCTCAGAGCCCCGACCCCCCCACCCCCGCGACCAGTTGAATGCACGGGGCTAAAAGACCGCCAAGCCAAGAGTCTCAGAAACTCCTGGGCAAATAGGGATGCCAGCCTCCAGGGAGGACTTGGGGATCAGTGTTCCCTCTAAACTGAGTTAGTGTGAGCTAGCTCACAGTTTTTTAGCCTCCGGCTCACAGATTTTTGTCTTCGCTCAGGAAGGAGGGCTCCAGAGCAAACTAATTTATGCAGTAGCCAGATCGCTGGGCTCACAGCTTTAATGCCAGTGGCTCACAAAGTAGAAGTTTTGCACACAAGACTCCACAGCTTAGAGGGAACATTGGGATCCCCTAGAATCACAGCTCATCTCCAGACTAATGCTCCCTCTAAACTGTGGAGTCTTCTGAGCAAAAATTCTACTCTGTGAGCCGCTGGCGTTAAACTTGTGAGTGGGCAATCTGATTACTGCATAAATTAGTCTGCTTAGGAGCCCTCCTTCCTGAGCGAAGACAAGAATGTGTGAGATGGAGGCCAAAAACCTGTGAGCTAGCTCGCACTAACTCGGCTTAGAGGGAACACTGCTCCAGACTATAGAGATTGGTTCCCCTGGAGAAAATGTATGTTTTGGAGGGTGAAGTCGATGGCATTGTACCCCACCGAGGTCCCTGTCCTCCCCAGGCTCAATCCCAAAATCTCCAGAGGCTTCCCAATCCCAACCCCAACAAATTGTGGTTCCAGAGGTTGCAGAGATCTGATCCACTGAAGGGGAGGCCTGATAGAGGAAGGACACCCACCACTTCAACTAACAGCCTGGCAGAAGAGCTCTGTCTTGCAGGCCCTGCGGAGCTGTACAAGGTCCCGCAGGGCCCTGATCTCATACGGGAGCTCATTTCACCGGACAGGGTCCAGGGCAATGTTCCCTCTATGAGCATTGATTATCTGGGTTTTACTTTCTACCGTTTCTTTTTTAAAAACAGAAAGTAAACTGTAAGTGGCTGTACTTTGGCGACATTGTTTACGACTATATAGGGGGACAATGTCCTAAGACGAAAAGGTTCTAGAGGCACTGTCCTCTGAATTCTACCAGAAAAAGTACAAGTGGGACAAATGATTCCTCTTTTATGATGACATGAAGCTGGGTGGGATTGCTAATTCTGAAGAAGGCAGAGTCAGGATTCAAAATTATCTAGATAGGCTGGAACAGTGGGCGGAGACAAATTTACAGAATTTTAATAGATAAGCGCAAAGTCCTACACTTAGGTACAAAAAATCAAAGGCGCAGATATAGAATAGGAGGGACAGAAGCTCATGTGAAAGGGATCTAGGTGTTCCGGTTGATCACAAGCTAAGCATGAGCCTGCAGTGCGATGTGACTGCGAAGAAAGCCAATGCAATCTTAAGAGGCATTAATAGAAGCAGGGGTCATTTCGTAGAAAAAGAGGTGCAGGAGCTCATTAGCATAATGCATTAGCATAACTTAATTGCATATGCCACACCCCCTGACATCACCGGAAGTGTGTCAGAAGGCAACACCCACCGCTCAGGCTCCACTGGACTGCTTTGGATTGCTAGCTATGAGAAGGGGGGAGGAACGTGCAGATCTGTCCTCACAGAGGAAGGAGAGCTTGTACCTGAAGGCAGGCCGGGGGGGGGGCTCTGTAACTTACCTGGCTGCTTCTTGCTCCTTGTGGCCTGACTGAGGGCTGCTGGGAGCAGGGGGCGGGGCTTGTCGCATGTGCCCACCCCCTGGGCTCCTTACTGTTGGAGCTCCGCTCCTGTGCGCTCCTGCAGAAAATGACCCCTGAATAGAAGCATTGTGTCCAGATCATGGGAGGTGGTAGTTCCGCTCTATTCTGCTACAGTCAGGTCTCACCTGGAGTACTGTGTCCAGTTTTGGGCACCACATTTTAGGAAGGATGTTGACAAGCTCGAGCGTGTCCAGAAGAGGGCAACCAGGATGGTGAGAGGGTTGGAATCCAAGTCTTACGAGGAAAGGCTGAAAGAGTTGGGTATGTTTAGCTTGGGAAAGAGAAGGCTTAGAGGGGACATGATTGCAGTCTTCAAATATCTGAAGGGCTGTCATGTAGAAGATGGAGCAGATCTATTCTCTCTTGCTCCGGATTGCAAGACTAGATCGAATGGGTGGATATGTACAAGGGTGTCATTACCGG